ATGAACTGAAGGTGTGGGTATAACATGAATTTTTGATGGTGTGTGGTGTCTTGCTATTGTGTTATAACTTTTATCTTTATTCCTTATGTCTTTTATAATGATTATGATTACGCACCCTTTCTGCTTCAAAATGTTGCCTCTATACGTGGGTAACTTGCAGGTGATCAGGATTAATGCATTGAAGCTTAGAGGATTAGCTTCAGAGTGCGTCATTTATTTCTGTTGAATAAGAGAATCTTGCTCTAATATGTAACATCGGGGGTTGGGAACGTTTGTTTTGAAACTATTATCTTCTCTTGCTTATTTTGAAGATGATAGGTTACCTGTCATGATATCTATTTGTTTGACTTATGAATTAGGAACGATGAAGTATTTTAATAAAGATGTTTCAAGACTATGATTTTGATGTAATATAATGGGAGAACTGACTTGGGTGTTTTTTGTTTTATCTCAATTATTGTGGATAGCAAGAGTCGTCACCGACTTTTCTTTTATCCAATAAAGGAAAGAGTGAAAAAAACAAGAAAGACTTTTTGAGATATTTTCTTGAGTTCGGGAGATAGGTTATAAAAAGGGAAGGTGTTAACACTCTTTTCATCCGTAGTTATCTATGGGCTCTTAGTTGCTAGCTCACTTTGAAATGCTTTATTTAAAATGTGTTTGTGATATTTTTGAAAGTATTTTTGAAAGTGCCTTCGTTTAGGCAAACTTTGTAATGATTCTCGTCTCTATAAGAATGCATACAAAGTGTTGACTTTTGAAAATATTTCATGGAAAAGTGTTGTTGTGTTTGAAATATGTTTTGTTTTGAAAATGGTTGTGAGCAAGCAACTACGAGCGTTCTACCTACTCAAAAAGTCTTAATTTTTTCCTCCTCCTTTAGATATTGCTATCTTACTATTGATTTGATAAGAAGCCCTATCATTGTATGTGAAGGGAAGGGTGTGGATCATCGTGTAGTCATAGAAGGCAACATTGTAGGATACCTTAGCAATTTTCTGTAAGGGTCTAAGATCATTTACCAAAGGCAACATCGAAGGGTCATCGAGGGACTACGATCTTGTATTCGAGGGTTATTTCTAAAGTATCCAACGTTCGAGGGACATGACTGTTTTTATCTGAGGCAACAAGTGTGGATTACCCTAGAGGTGCGCATGTGCGAGTGTATTAATTTCATGCATTTTTGTCTTGAATTAGGGTTGTCTACTTGTTGATTTTAAGTCTTGTGATACAAACCCTAATTACTAGCATTTGTATTTGAAAGCGATAAATTACGGAATGTAAAGATTCTACGCTATCACATTATTTTGGGGATGGGGGTACAAATTTACAAATGGAGAGATGACAAGTAATTAAAACCTAATTATTATTACAACCATATTGAATAATGAATAACAATAAAATTATAAAGAAATATAAAGGTAATGTAAAATAAAAAAATTTAAGAAAACTTTTATGTATTGACACATGAGCTTATGCATTGATACGAAAACTTTATGTATTGACGCATGCGCTTATGCATTGATACGAAAACTTTATGTATTGATACATATCAATCCTTGTTCCTGGAAATTAAAAATAACCCAGTATGAGTCGACACATAAGGGTTTGTATCGACTTATACTGCTTTGTATCGACACATGTGCTTTTTGTATTGACTCATACTCATTTCTTGTCCCTAGAAGTCAAAAACAACTCAGTATAAGTCAACACATAATGGTTTGTATCGACTCATTTCTGTTTTGTATCGATACATACGTGTTTTGTGTCGACTCATAACCTGTTTTGTACATAATATGTGTCAACTCATAGTGTTTAGTATCGACTCATACTGCTATTTTTTTACTCCTATCATTGTTCTGCTACATGTAAAAGTCAGTTCTCAACACATGGTTAGTGAAAATGAAAAGCAAGCATATGGTTAGCTTCAAGGCAATGATATCTATATTTTATCTTCACAAATGAACCATTAATGATGCTTTTTATGAAGAGTTCAAAGTCAATAAAACTTACCTTGAAACTGAAATTTGTGCTTTGAGTTTGAGTTAGAGAAATCAAGTTACAGGTGGCTGTTTTTTAGTTTGGAAAATAGTGATGTTATAAAAGTTGTTCTTGAGTTTGGACAACTTCTATATGATGTATGTGGAGTTTTTGGATGGTTTGTTTGGACATAATTTGCAAGGTGTGAGAGGTTCAAAGGGTTTGGACTTCAAAGCTCAAAGATGGAGGTTTTTGTGGATATTTTTGGGTTTTTTAGAGTAAAGGGGGTTTGAGTATTTTCAACACACAAGAAGCTCTCTATTTTTTCTGACCTCTTTCTTTTGAAAATGCTCCCTCTATTTATAGGCAAGAGGTTTTGGGAACAAGAGCTGATTAGGTTTGCAAGACAGCATGTTATGGTTTGGTTGGGATGCAAATATCAAACTATGTCAAGTATTCTATAGTCTCAAGATGAAGTACCAAAGTTGATGGTATAGAGGAGCTACCTTCCATAATTTATGGTGGAGTATAATCAAAAGCAAACAAGGTATGGGCTCAAGACAAATTTTGTATCAAAAGTTTGCTTTTCAAGAATAACAATGGTGCCTTTATGCCATAAATGGAAAGATCTTTTGGACAATAACTCAAACACTTGGGTAATAGCTCAAGAGTAGGTGTAAGCATTAAATTATGGTGAGATTGGCAAGTTAGGAGGCATGCAACACAAGATTATGCAGCATAGCATAAGGATTTTGTTATGTGTTCTTCAACAAAAGGACTTGCAATTCAAGGATGAATGTCCAACTTCATGCCCTTGAATCTCCTAGCTCAAGTATGATAAATTAATGCTCTTGGATGTTTTGGAAAGCTTGAAAAATTCTCTATAACTTTCATGTTGGACATTTTGACAAAATTATCTTGGAACTATGTGACAAAATACCAAGAAGTTGGGATAAAATCCTGACCAAAATCTATTGAAAATTTCTCTAAGTGCTAGATGAACATGTCATGTCTTCATGGGCTTATATCTTCAAATCTAAGCATTTTTTGGACATCAACCTTCTAATACAAAGTTGTAGAATTCATCCAGATCTACAACTTTCATGTTGAAAGTTTCCTTTTAATCATTTTGCATCATGGTGGAAAATTGGTATGAAGTTATGAAATAAACATGTGTAAAACACTTAGAAAAATTTCTAAGTCTTGAAAAGTTTGACTTTTCAAATTGACTTTTGACTTTCTTGACTTTTTGATGATCAAACTTGATACTCTTGAATGTCTTGATGAATTTGATCTTTGAGACTTAATGTTGACCAAAAAGACAAAGTTTGATTTTTGGTGTATCCGTTGACTTTTCATCAATACAACTGATTTTTGGTCATCTGGTCAATTGACTGAGCAGAATTTATGATACAAGATTTGAAACTTGACATGAGCATTCTTGAAGGTCCATAATGATCCATGAAAGCCATTTGAAGTATTAGAAGTCCAATTGTTCTTGTGAAAACTCAAACCTTAATTTAAGGCACCAGTGTTGAGGAGATGTCTTGACCTAGTCAATATTTGTGCAAGTTTGAGCTATTGAAGATCTTGTGGGAAATGTCTTGAGAAATGAGATGACAAATTTTGGGGTACAACTGTTGCCTCTGTTCAATCTTCTTAAACCTGAAGAGTTAGATTGACGAGTCCGTCATTCGTGACTTGAAAATGGAAGATGATTGAACACTAAAGTGCCCAGAAATTTACACTCGACTATGTGTTAGTTGATTGTGTCGAGAATGAGCTTAAAAATGTCATTTGGAGAAGTGATAAAAAATTTGTCGGAGATGGACTTACAAATGTCATTCAGAGTGATTGTCGAGGAAGAAGTATCAGAATAAATCTTTTAAAATCGCAAATTATGACAACTTTAAGAAATGTGATAGAAGAATAAAAGCTTAGGACACGTAGAACATAAATTTCTAAAAACGAAACCATAAAAATGAAGTGTTGAAGCTTACAACACTGAGTAGTCACCGAGAAAGATCTTACCTTATTTTTAAGGAACAATTGTTAAAAGAGTATTGAAGAAGAAGTGTTGAAGAAGTGTCGAAGAGAGTGTGAAAGTTATAGAATGGTAGAGGTGGAAAGACGAAAGAGAAAGAGAAGGTACTAATTGAAGTGGACGGTGGAAAGTGAAGGAGAAAAGTTAACTTAGGGAGATAAAAAAAACAGAAATGGATTTTAAATAGCATTACCCAATAGGACTTAAACACATGCCACATGCCGGATTGGGGTGGGTATCAGTAGAAGTGTTTATTATTTAATTAATTATCATTATGGGCAATTGAGTGTGTTAATTTAGTAAATGAGAAGGTTAATTTAAGGATAATGATAGTATTTAATTTTCTTAGATAAGATAGTTTATTCAAAGTTATAGTATGTTTAGCCACGCAACGCTCATGTCTAAATCTGGTTTTAATTATGGAGTAACATGTTTTTCCACCGTTCTTTCCCAACTCTGCACTTATCATATCCATTTCAAGAAAACAATCCACCTTATCAAATATTATCCCAAATCTGCACTCAAATAAACATTTTCAAACATTATAACTAACACTTTCACGAACCTTATCAGAAGAATCACGTGTTGTTCTTTTTCCTACTAGTGCTTTCTGTCTGTGTTTCTTATATATAATTCATTCATGATTTATATATGATCAGTTAATATATACCAGAAAAATCATTTTAATAAGGGATATGGATAATTCAGTCATGGGCATTGTTCGGTATGGGACAGATCATTTGTCTTGATACTCTTTTGTTTTCTAGTTTTTTTAAATCCAAATTATGATTATGATTTTTGTATTGACCTGGTGAACTTCTAATGATTAATACTTTAACAACATGATGTGTTTTCGACAGGTTGGTGCGGATGTTAAGGCTGTTCCGGATCAAATCATTGATTCTTTAACAACTCTTGCTAATCCAACTAAAAACAATAGATTTGCAAATAAAATTTCACTCAAGAGAACGGCGCCATGAAGGAATCTGATCCAAAAAAGAAGGCTGCAGCTTTGATTCTTGGTGCTGGTCGAGTCTGTCAGCCAGCGGCCCAAATGTTATCGTCATTTGGATCCAGCCAGTGGTATAAAACATTGTTGGGAGATGATTTTGAGGATCAAATTCATCTTGATGTCATCGTAGGATCTTTGTACCTGAAAGACGCAGAGCAGGTACTTTAACCAAATTATTTTATTTTACGTTAGTTCTTCTATAGACGCAGAACTGGTATTTTCTTAGGATCTTGTACATGATATTTGATTTTTGTACCTGCAGACTGTTGAAGGAATTCCAAATGTAACTGGAATTCAGCTTGATGTCATGGATAGTGTCGGCCTTTTTAAGCACGTTTCACAGGTACAATCCTCGCTTAGAAGCGTTTTCTAATGGTAGCTTAATTATTTGTGTTCTTAAGATTTTGTTTACAGCCATATCTTATGCTTAAATCTAACTTTTTGCAGGTGGACATTGTTATAAGTTTGTTGCCCCCTAGTTGTCACGTTATCGTAGCAAACGCTTGCATTGAGGTACTTTGCAGTACTTAAACATCTATAGCAACATCTCGACTTTTGGAATATCCAGAATAGTAAATGAATATGTTTCTGAATTTTTGATGCAGTTGAAAAAACATCTTGTCACTGCTAGCTATGTTGATAGCTCCATGTCAAATCTAAATGATAAAGCTAAAGTTGCTGGTATAACAATTCTTGGCGAGATGGGCTTGGACCCAGGGATCGGTATGAGCTAATCTGATATTTAGAACAATTCTTCTGAAAAGTATAATCTGTAAAAACTTAACACATTTTCAATCAAAACGGCCTTGTGATAAGTTTGTAATTGATTGATGATCCAGACCACATGATGGCAATGAAGATGATCGACGAGGCACATATGCAGAAGGGGAAAATAAAGTCTTTCACTTCTTACTGTGGTGGACTTCCATCTCCTGAAGCTGCTAACAATCCATTGGCATATAAATTCAGCTGGAATCCTGTAGGGGCCATCCGAGCTGGGCGCAATCCTGCCACATACAAAAACCATGGTGAAACTGTACATATTGATGGTAAGCTTTCAATAAATTGGAATAAATTACCATGGAAGCAACGAGTATCGTCATAAGCTCACTGCATAGTTCTTGTTTAATGGACAGGGAACAATCTTTATGATTCTGCTACAAAACTAAGGATTCCGGACTTTCCTGCTTTTGCTTTGGAATGTCTTCCTAACCGCAATTCTTTACTCTATGGAGATTTATATGGAATAGGATCTGAAGCATCAACTATCTTTCGTGGAACCCTCCGTTACGAAGGCATGGTTTCTATCTCAAATACTTCTAACCTTTTTCGAAAAGCTCTTTAATCTATATTAGTCTATATTTGGTGAATCTATATGGAGCTATTTTTTATTAACTCCTTGTACAGGGTTTGGCGAAATCATGGGGACACTCTCTAGGATTGGCTTATTCGACAATGAAGCTCATCCGATTCTGAAGAATGAGGAGAGACCAACCTTTAGAAAATTCACGTTTGGCCTGCTGAAAATCGATAATGCAGATCCAAATGGAGCGTTGATAGGAGAGGAGGACATCACAAAAAGAATACTAACATTAGGACATTGCAAAGATCAAAGATCTGCAACGATGACAGCAAAAACAATCATGTACTCCATTTAACACCCTCTTATTGTAAGTATAATTATTGGAAAATCATTGTTGTAACTTGAACTCATTCTCTCTTGTGTAGATTTTTAGGATTTTTCGATCAAACAGAAATCCCGACATCCTGCCAAAGTGCTTTTGACGTTGCATGTTTCCGCATGGAGGAGAGATTATCCTACTCCAGCACAGAAAAGGTATATTAATAAGAATTCGCATAGTTTTCTAAGTTCATACATATAATATCAGACACGTTGACTTTATATCTGATTTATAAGCAGGATATGGTTCTTCTGCACCATGAAGTCGAGATAGAATTTCCGGACAGACAAGTTACAGAGAAGCGTAGAGCTACTTTGCTTGAATTTGGGAAGACTTGTGATGGAAAAACCACTACTTCCATGGCCCTTACTGTTGGTATTCCAGCTGCAGTTGGAGCTCTGGTACTTTTCCTCCAAAACTGTTGTCTATACTGTACTATTCCAATTTCCAATTAAATACTGTTACTGAATTTGTAGCATCATTTTTTTCAGCTCTTACTGGCAAATAAAGTTCAGACAAGAGGTGTCTTAAGACCTATCATACCTGAAGTATACACTCCAGGTGATTGAATATATTCAGTTATTAACAGATTTTCGTTACGAAACTGCGATACTGTTTTCAGTAAATTGCATATTGTAACAATCGATTGATAATGCTTATTTTTGGTCTGTGGTGTTTGCAGCTTTGGATATCATACAAGCTTATGGCATCAAGTTGATAGAGAAGAATGAGTAATTTGTATATTTGAAGTTGGTGTTTGATGTATAGATCATGTACTAGTAATATTTTTGAGCTATAATAAAGAAGAAAAAAAATGCACTAATAGTGTAAAATATTTTCATTGTCAAACAATGAGAGACATGTATCCAATTAAAACATACTTTTATTTTTAAAATACTTATATGACATAACAAGTATAAGAATTTTAATTGGTTGTAATAAATGCTGTATATTTATTGAATCAGAATTCGGAACTACCATTATATATCAGCAATGTAATGCAATAAGAGAATTCTAAATCAGCAATGTTTTCTAGAAAAAAATAAAATAAATACATATTATCAGCAATGCATGCAACCCTATCCAGTATTCTATTATGAACATCTATGCACACCAATCATGGCTGATGAAGTATTAAGATTTTAAGTTAGAGAATGTTTACTTCTATTATAGACTTTTCGGTGAAATTTAGTTATTTTTAATTTAAAAAATTATGAGTAACAAAATATAATAAAAAAAGAATCATCCATTATAACATAGACTATAAGTCCAACTAAATCAGCTTTATATTATTTATATGAAAACAACTGTTCAATAAGAATAAATTTTAAAAAAAACTCTTGAAAATAATAATAATTGTTGAAAATGCTATGTAAAATGGGATAAAGAATATGAACGTGACATTCTGTCCTCTAGCTAGTCATCTTCTTGCAGCAACTTCAAATTATTTCACTTCTTCAAGAATATATGTTAGACATTTCAAAAACATGAACTAGTCCAGCATTTGTTGTAGACTATGAAGCTACCAGTGACATCAATTGTTGTTCCACTTCTTTCCAGTTCTTAACTTTGGTCACCAAAGGGTGCTCATCAACTAACTCGTTCTTGGACCAAGGATACGAGTTTTCATAATCAAAAAGTAGGACTTTAATTCCAACATCAGCACACTCTATGGCATACCGCGGGTTATCATCGATAAGAACCTTGGCATTTAAAGACCTGTTAATGAGAAACAGAAAGTTTACAAGTTGACCAAAGAGCATCAAAACCAAATCATAGAGAAATGCAGATGAAGAGGATCAAGACTCACCTACAAATCTCTGATTTTGGTCTTGATATTCCATCAAGAGCAAAGTGATTACCAAAGTGAATCTCATGAAACAGTCCTGGGAAATTCTTCTCTATCCATTCAATTGTGTGATCCTTAATTACATTCTGCCGAGACCTGAACATATAATAAAAGAGACCCAGTTAGTTGATTGTGACAAGATTCGTCTATAGGTTGATGAAAGTTCAATATACCAAAATCATACGTTACAACTGCTAGGTTAAAAAATCTTGATAACTTTTGAACTGCCATCTGAGCACCTGGGAGAGGGTGAATCCCTGACTTGAAATATGGCGTCTTAAAAAACTCGTGAACGCGAATATCAGCTGCAGAATAAGATATAGATTTCCAACCAATCAGTCCATTAGTCAGCTGCAGAAAAAGATATAGTCTTCTAACGTGAGGGCTTATTTTAAAGAAGATAAATCCTTTGAACAACCAAAATGCTTTTGAAGTTTATTCCTTTATTTGTTTGCTAAGGGTGCTACCCACTAGCATTGAATTTTCTGGAGACTGCAAAAAATTAGTCAAACCTTACCATTGAAAACACTAGGTTGAATGGTTTAAAGAATTTGTAGAAATCATAAGACCAACATCAGGATACGTACTACAAAGTAGGGCTGCCTCATTCATGAAAACCAAATGTTAGAATTTGATTTTTTTTTAAACATGGATTTATAGGGAATACGATTTCAAGAAAGATCATCCAGATTTCAAAAAAGAGACACTTCAATCAATGAACTTCGTAAAAATCAAACAAGGAAATGGAGTCGCACAAGTGTTCTAAAATGAAATAGAGAGTTTGATGAATAAACAATTACCTTCATCACGCGAACAGTTCCATATCTGTAACAGAAATGAGGGGTGCATCAGGCTCCACATTCAAACTTGCACAAATTCACAACAATGCAATGGACTACAACTAATATACAAGCCACATACACCTACTGTGGAAAATAAGATGTAGCTTAAAACGATAACCGTGTAAGTACTCGAAGAGAAGAGGAATGTTTAAAATATGGAAACCCTATGAAAGCCAATAAGAAACTGAATTAAAAGTTAAACATAACTCCATTTATAGAAAAAGTGGTTCTCTTCAGCAAGAGGAATGTTTTTTATAGAATTGTGGTCCCTGACTAATGTTCAAGGGGCATTGACTGTGAAATTCTTGTGCCAGGGTTTTTTCTGAGGCACCATTGACCATCAAAATAGCAATAAAAATAAAGATGATGCATCAGTTAACATGAGTATCAGAAAGAATATACAAGTTCTTGCCCATCGACATTGTTTAATATTAGCAAAAATTGGTAAAACTCAATCACTTATCATGAAAACATGGAACAGCCAAAGCAGCCAACAAAGATACCTTATAGAATTCGTACACATGATATTCAGAAACTGAATAATTTGATGAATATTGATCTGCAATATACTTGTTGAGAGCCGACACAAAGTTTCCCAGTACTGCATAAAAAAGAGTATACGTCAGAGAACACATGTGGATAATCTTAGAATTCAACTACGTACTAGCCAGTTTTAACAATGGAGCGAGAATCAAGAAGGAGAAGAAAAAAACTGATTCAAGGGGTGACATCGTAATGAAAATAGGGGATTATCAATTATTCATGCATACCTGGTGATGAAAATTCAAAATTATTTAAACACACACAAAAAGGACAGGACATATCTAATGAGAATCTAATCTTGAACCTCCATTAATAAAGATTGATTCCTTCTCTAAGAGAAACAATATTAAAGTAACCACTACCATGAGAGCACAATGATAAGCTATTATAAAATATACATTGAAACCCGAACACACAGTCAGGATTTTACACAAGATCTTCATTTTACATACAGAGAAAATCAATTCATAAATTATTGAAGACATGCCATAAAATAAAACAAAAGGGTGGCACAGGCATATCAAATTGCTTGCATACATACCCTCATCCACATCAACAGCAACAACAACTTTCTCAGACAAACGTCGATCCCGGAAACAACGAGGCATATCAGGACTTCCACTTAGTCCCCCATCATCAACTTTAACAAGAGTAGCATCACCTCCAACAGAACTCCCTTTTTCCAAATCCGACGCAAAGCCGCGAGACCTCGCATTAGCCTTCACAAAGAATCTACCACTATTACTACCACCACTAGTATAAAAGCCACAACCTTTTCTTCCAAATCCAATTCTTCTACTAACCCCAAAAACACTATTAGCACAAACCTTGCTCAAATGGGAACAGGGATCATAGCCTATTGAATAAGCCATATTTTGCAGAGTTTTCTGATACAAAAACCGTGCAAGATTTTCACTTTTCTTTAATCTAAACATAATGACACTAGAATCTCGGTACGATATTCTTGCATCACAATTAAAAACTTAAAAAGGGGAAATTAAATTGAATAGATAAATCCCAGAGGAAAAAAAACAATTTTTATATTCTTTTTCAAACGGAATCGATTCCAGAAAGAGTTGATTGAACAATGCAACGATCAAAAACCAATCATTTTGGGGGAAAAGTGTGTTGTCCAATAACGCAACCGATTAAAACCCTAGAATGAAAATTGATATGATTGAGTGAAATCGAATCTTGATGTAATGGGTTGGATTGGATCCAATGAATAATGACGGAAAATATGAGAAATTTGAGAGGAATTTGCGGAAGTTGAAAAGGGAATATGGATCAAAAAAAATGATGGATGCTTTGTTTTGTTACTGACAACACTGTAAAATAGTTAATTAAGGTTTCATTATGAGATGCATCGAAATGCGCAATTTAGTTGGATTAGTATAGAATTTGGTTGGTGTTTGTGAGAAAATTAAAAAGGATAACTTTTATGAAAGAAAGATTAAATTGAAAAAGTTGAAAAAACTAAGAAGGAAGGTAAATGTATTTTGGATCATGAAAATTAATTTTGAAATAATTAGTTTCATATTTTTTTTTAATATTTTAGTTGTCAGAATTCACAATCTGATTTGTTTTATAAAGTTATCTGATGTACATGCACTAAGCAATTAATTGAATTGTGCTAAAGTGATAGTTTTATAAAGTTGATTTTACTTTAAAGCGATTTGCCTGTAAAATTAATTATATTTGAAAATATTTTAGAAAAAATATTATTTTTGTTCCCTTAATTTAATATCAGGATCTATTCTGATTTTTTATTTTTAAAAAATTTTAAAGTGATTTTTGTTCAAAAAAGATTACGTTTATCCTTTTTGTTTGGACCGTTGGTCAAAGTCAATGGTAGTGTTTATGTCGCATATATGTGGCATTACACGTGTTTATATTTCTCTCCAGGTGGATTAAAGTATCTTAATACTAAAATAGAAAAGCGAATGGTTTAAAGTATTAGAACATATCTCTAACACTTGAAGCTAACCCCTAGCGCAATCATTGTTGGTAGCTCTGTTATGCGAATAAGCTGCGAGCGAAGTGAAGGCATATTCCGTTTTTGAAGGTGAAAGTGACCATAGAGTATCCTGATGTTTTGCCCCCCAAATTTAGGAAAATGTCTGGAAGGCAAAAAAAAAAGAAATTTATAGCAAGGTGAGATAGATGGTTCTGATAAAAAGATTAGAAGGACAAGATTCATTATAAAGTGTAGCATGTGTAAGAAAGCGGGACACAACCAGTTTACTTGCAATGTACCATCTACTAGTCAAGCAGTCCAGGCATCTCAGCCAGCTCAAGCATCTCAGCCAGCTCAAGCATTCCAGCCAGCTCAAACATCTCAGCCAACTCAAACATCCCAGCCAGTTCCTACACAAGCATCTCAGCCAACTACTTCTCAAGCATCCCAACATGTGGTTTCTCAATCATCCAAGAAAGTGACTCTCAAATCCAAAAAGTTGTAAGTTAGAAGGCCAAATGCACCTTTTGTCCCACCTGGTCCAACAACTAGGTTGAATGCATCAAAAACTGTTGTAGGTCTAACAACAAGAAGGACAATACCTACTAAGTAAGTCGCGCCAAAATGGAAAGCTTAGTTTAATGCCTTTAATGTAATCGTTCTGTTAAGTTATGTTAAGTTTAGTTAAGTAATGTTAAGTTCAGTTAAGCTATGTTAAAGTGTTTTGAATTTGTACTGGTGTTTTGGACCTGTAATGTATCAGGCATTTTGGACCTGTAATGTATCAGGTATTTTGGACCTATATTTTGGACCTGTAATATTTTGGACATGTAATGTATGAATATTAGTGGTATCCACCACTGTTGTACCCCAAAATTTGCCCTCTCATTTCATCAATATTTTCTCATCACAAGACCCTTGGAACTCAAGATCAAGTTAGGGTTTACTCTGCTCAAGACTCCTCCTTGCACTGCTGACTCAAATTAGGGTTTGAGTTTGCACAAAGATGTTTTGACCTAAAATGCCCAAAGTGACTTTCATGCTTCATGTTGGACTCACAAGTTTATCCATACCAAGTTTCAAACCTTGATTCTAATCTTTGCCCAGTCAATTGGACAGTTGACCTAGAAATCAGCTGTATTGGGGAAAAAGTTAACTGTGGCCAATTGACAGTCAAACATCATGAAATTTGACCCTCATCAACATTATGAACTCATATGAACCATTTGGTCAAGTTTGGATCACAATTCCACAAGAAATTTGATCAGATCACCAAAAGGGCAAAATGGTCATTTTTAGGGTTTTGACTGCACAAAGGCAATTTTTGACTGTTTGACCTAACCAATGGCAAACCAAGCTCCCTTATGGCCTCAAGGACTCAATGGCATGGTCTTGACACATTCAACAAGTTCAAAAGATCCCAAATGCACAGGATTGACAGATGAATTTTCCAGTCCAACTTTTCAAAATTTGACTGTATACTGAAAAGTCAAACTTTGAATTTTTGGTCAAAATCAGGTGTCAATATTCATTTTTCATCAAAACATGCCAAATTATGAAACTTGTTCATCAAGAAACCAAAAATTACAAATTAGGGTTTAAAATGAAGAAATTTCATAACTTAGAATTTTTCTAAGTTATAAAATTTCCTTATTTTTTCCTAACTTTGTCCCATTTTATCATCAAGATACATTTGGATTCAAACAAAACTCAAAACATGAAAGTTATAGTCCATTGCAAAATATACAACTTTGATTCACAAAGTTTCCCCAAAATAAACTTGTAGCTCAAGTTATGATTTTTGGAATAAGGGTGCAAAACATTCTTAACTTAGAAATTTTTTGACCTATTATAGGCAGGATTTTTGCCCAACTTCATGGCCACTTTTCACATGCTTCCACTTGGAATTTCAACTTGCATTACAAATATGGATTGTAGTACACATTCCAAGCTTTCCAAATTGTCCAAGAACTTCTCAAACACCCTTGTGGTTAGGGAGAATCGAATTTGTCAAGTTGGGCAAAAGTCACTTTGTTCATGGCCAAATTCATGTACATAACATTGACATTTTGAACTCAGCTTGCACAAACTAGATTACAGGCCTTTTATCTCATCCACACTCAATAATTTAATGCATATCCTTTGTGTTCATGTCTTGTTTTGTGTATTTAACCATTACATACAAGATTAAGCCATATTTGGAAAAAGCATTTTATCCATTCTTGTAAAGAAGCACTTTATGTCAAGTTTACAATCTAAGAAGTACAAAGCAGATCTTTTGGGCACAAGATTATGGACTAATCCCACTGATCAAGAAGAGAAAATGCAGCATGCTTGAGGGGCCTGTGTGAGCCTATAACTCAACTTGACAACTTTTGCTTAAAGGAGAAGAAAGCTTGCATTTTGAACAACAACTCACATTCCTGCAAGAACCAACTAAAACAAACTTTGTCCACACATTGCATACTCCCTAACCAACCTAGAACACGAGCCCTTAACCCTCAATACCTCCTCATCCATCAAAGCACAATTTTGTTGCAAAACAGGGTACCTGTTGCATTTTGATTTGGTCAGCTCAATCCATTCGTGCGCCTTGGCCAAAACCACTTCATACACACTCCATAACATCCATACAAACTATCCCAAGCCTTGGAAACAGACTGTAACACCCCTAGCCAAGATTGCCATTTTCATTTTTCATCTGTGCAGGTTGACTTCTATAGCTCGATTCAGTAAGATTCAAAGCAAGCCAAACATAGAGGAAGCATCCCTGGACCTCAGGCAAGCTGTACAAATCTTCAAATTCCATTGAAAGTGCCTCCATTGTTGCACACAATTCAAGCTGAACAGGTAAAAGTTTGAACTTCTATCTCTCTATCCAAGCATATCTAGGCTTAGGTTTGTGAAGAAAGTATGTTTTATTCATGGCCCTGAAGCTACCCATATCCTCACTTTTCATTTATGTTGTGTGTGCTGCACGAATTTTGGACATGAACATTTGAAAAAAGCTAGGTCAGGAATTGGGGGAGGAGAAATTCTCTCTCATTTCTGAGAGTTAGAACAACTTCTTTATATGTTTAGAATCGTGACATGATGCTCTATAACATTGATGTTGTAAGTTTTTGTTGAAAATCAAAGAATCAAGAGATGACAGGGATAAAAGGAAGCGCGCGTTTTTGTGTTTGAAAATGGCTGGAGGTTGAAGACAAGGCTCCTTGGGCTGGGCCTGATTTGTTTTTCTGTTTACACCACTATTTCCCATTTACACCCCCTTGGCCCATTGTGTGATTTTTCAATTATTTTTGACTTTTTGTTTTTTCCCCTGACTTATTATTTTTGGTCAAAATATAAAAAATATAAAAAATATTTTTTCAACCATTTTTGCATTTTATTTGGATTTTATTTATTTTATTTGGACTTATACATATAAAGTAACATATATACTTTTATTTAAAATACTAAAAAAATAATACAAAGACATTTTATTTTCTGATTTTATTTTATTTTACCTTTTGAAAACATTTTCTAAAAAATATACTTTTTTGTAAATAATTAATATTTTTATTTTTGTATATATTTAATATATTTAATACATAATATAAATACTTATATATTTATTAGAATATTTAGGATAAAAACATAAAAAATAATACATTTTTTCTTTTATTAATATTTGACCTCAAAAATTACTTTTTACAAATATACTTCTCTTTTATTTATTTTTGTGTATAATTAATAAATATTGTATGTAATAAATAATAAATACTTTTTATTTAGAAAATTAGGGTTTTGCCCTAAACCATGAAAATGTCCAAAATCAACCCTTTTTATTTTTTTATAGGTCACATGAAAAATACTTTTTACATACACATAAAAACATTTTTGTGCATAATACATTTTACATTTTATTTGTATTTATTCAATTATTGTATAATTAAAATAACTTGTATATTCAATTTGGATGTAATAGTTTAGATT